ATGTCGCCTCGGTGCATGAGTTGCTTCCCAAAATCGTGGCGATGCAAATAAGCACGCTTGGAAAAATCCACAGTATGGCATTTGACTAGACTTATTCGGAGGATTTAGGGGAGCAACCGAATGAATTAAATGTGTCAATTGTCACGCAACTCGCGTGTCCACAGGATTCCACAGACGCATCGATGCATGCGATCTTTCGCCTTCGGCAGCTGATGCGTACGTCATGCTAGCCCAGATATGGATATATATATATATACAAATACACATATATATATATATATATATATATACATGTTTCGGAAGTATGCAAGAACCGCCTAACAAGGCGAGTCATGCTTCGGGATGCAGTCACGTAGGTGACAGCAGTGCCCCTTGGTTCTTGGAGGCTCGGCAATGACATGTGCGGGTCTTTCAGACAGCGAGTCAACAAATAAATGTGGTGTTGGCGCCGCTTGTTTGGCCCGCCAACTTGCCATGAGCGGAGAGCTCGTTTTGATTTGGTTTACCGCACGGGCCTTTCAACTCGGGCGCAAAAAAGTGTTTTCGGCCGTCGAGAGTTGCATCAATTCATCAGCAGGGCTCCTTAAAGGATGCCTTTTGCAACCATTTGACACATGTTGCTTTTTGCACCATTTGAACCATTTTTTCCCACCAAATACAGGTTGCAACTGTCAGGTGTTTTTGCATCCGGATCCCTGATCAGATGAGGTTCGGGTCCATCGGGAAGGTTGGGATAGGGCGGGAGGTCTCTGGGCCGCGGCCTCGAAGTCGGTTCGCCGGGCGGGGCTCGAGCCCAGAGGCGAATGGTTCCGATGGATTTAGAGAAGCTTCAGCTTGGTGTTTCAGTCTTTGAAGATGGAACCGTTTGCTGTACGGATTTTTAGACTTTAAGTTTTTGGTTGCAACCAATTTGGGGTTTTCCACTAAACCCCCAAACAAGTTGAGCTTTTTGCAGGGGGGTCAACAGCAACCAAGTTCCTATGGATTTAGAGAAGCTTCTGATGGTGCAGTTTCGGACAGAGCTTCGTTCGCGCTGGGTTTGGTGTCCCTTTGACTCAGAACTGCTCCAGCCCCTTTCAGGAACTCCAGCAGCAAGACACCTCTTGGGTATTGGGAATGACTGTTTCTGGGTTGGAAGGGGGGAAGTATACATCTTTAGCAGCTCCAAGGAGGAATCAACGGTTTCTATCTTTGTGCAAGCTCTGTATTTTCAGGCGTGGAAAGACAGAAACTATTGCTACCGCTCATGGCCCGGTACGTCATATGTTTGTTTTGCCAGTACTTAATTTAGTATTTCCAATACTAAATTCAGTATTGCCTACGGAAAATTTAGAATTGCTAGTACAAACATTTAGTATTGCCAGATCTAGATTTAGTATTGCCATTTCGTAATTTAGTGTTGCAACTAATTACCGGAGTTTGCGCTGTTAGTATTGAATGTAGTATTACAAGAACTAAATCAAGCAATGCCAGTTCTAGATTTCAATTGGCGAATTCTTCAGAATCGCCACTGCTGAATTTAGCATTGCCTGTACTTGATTTAGTGTAGCCAGTGATAAATTTAGTGTTGCCAATGCTAATTTTCGTGTTTTTAGTCAATGTTTTACCAAAATAACATCCTTGAAGGATGTTTGGCTTTGAGAAGGTGGGCTAGTTTGCGAGTCCTCAATCGAGATGGAACAGTTTCGGACAGGGCTTCGTTAGCACTTCCAAGGAAGAGGCATAAGTGTTTATCTTTGTGCAAGCAACGTGTTTCAGGCATTGCGGAAAGTCATGAACTTTTGCTACGGCTCGTGGTCCGGTAACTAATATCATTTGCTTGCCAGTACTTAATCAGAAAGGGACGCTATACGGGCCCCTTGTTTTGCACAGTTAGGAAAAAGGAGAAAACCGTGATACGATGTCGTTCTTGCTTGTCTGAAATAAAGCATCATGCATTCAAATGAAGTCGTTCATCTGATCTTGCTTCTGCGTGTACGATGGTCCAAAGAGGTCGTACTATTGCCTGACAATGATCTGGAAAGGGGGGGGAGCAAAAAAAATGGGAAAAAAGCAAACCGATCTCCTTTTGTTTTTTCTTCTCCTCCTCTCCCCCCCTCCGAAGCAGGCAAACTACATCTGTATGAATGCAGGGCCACGTGAACACAGGTTAGACACTGTATGGGATGTTTGGCAAGCGCGCCGACGTCAATGCAAATGCTCCACTCTTTGCTCACCGCTCAGGCTACCAGCTGACATAGCATCACACCCTCTACGGTAATTCAATTAGGTGGAATTGGATGGCAAATGTTTGTGTACGTGGCTTTGGCACACAGCTACATTGCCAGAGGTTAGGCCAATCTGCAGCAGTGTCATCAACATAGACAGTTTAGCTAGCACCAGAAATAGATACCTCGGTTCAATGAAATTTGTGTCGTCTCGCAAAAACTAGTGTTTGTCATGTAGCGCAACGTAGCTCAAAGCATTTCTGTCGTTGGTTCTTGTGTTTCTGAAAATGAGCTTTTTGGGGCTGACCATAGGAGGCCTACTGATCAAAAATTATGCTGATGACCTATGGAAGGTGCGAGTAGAACCTCCTCCCGTACCATCCATTGCATGCCACCAGCAAGCATAGAGATCCTACCTCTAATGATGCAGAAATCAACGTTGCCCACTTGCAGGTGGTCTCGCAGGTTTCCGGATCTGCTGGCAATATGATTAGTGATCTTTTCCCCCATGCAGCATATCAAGGGGGCAGCGCACCCTCCCCAATGGAAAGGCTCAATCCCCAAGCTCAGGTAGCAGCTTGGTAGCCTATAGTATCTGTATTTCTTTCAACAAGGACGCGGGGGAAGGAGCCTCATCACCACAACTGGCAGAGGCCCACTAACCTCTTGTGAGCTACAGGCGTGCGAAGGGGATGCAGCGGGCGGTTGGTCAGATCCATGCAGCTCACAAAGGGTTGGTGGAATGAACGCCTGTGCAAGTTGTAGTGATGAGAGTCCTTGCCCCACTTCCCTGTGAACAAAATGCATTGACCGTAGGCTGTCAAGCTGCTATCTGAGCTTGGAGAGAAAATTAATTCGGCCTGGAAATGAGGGGGTTATCTCCACTTGCTTTGCCCTAAAAGACAACTTTGTTTTTGAGGAAAAACACAACTTTGACTGAAAAACGCAGGCTTCCACAGCTCAGCGTCCCACACTCTTTTTTGCAGTTGTAGAGCTTGGATTTAATAACTTAGGGTGGACATGAATTCAAGGTTCAGTAAGCCTTTCCCTGCTAATTGTGGACCCCATTGAAGCAAGTCTTTCGCGGGACCTGGGACATGAACATATTTACAGTGTCCGTATAGCAGTCAGCAAGATCAGCCACGTAAAAAGGTAGAATGTTGCAAACACACGCGCGGTTTGCGTAGCATTGGACGCTGCCTGGCGCGTGTGCTCAAGGAAGGGGAAGACAGCTTTGTGTAAAACACAGCCAAAACACACTGCAAAAACAGGGCCCGCCGGGCGTCCCGATCTCTACTTAATTTAGTGTTGCCAATGCTACATGTCAAAATGCCAGGGCTAAGTTTAGTATTGCCCGTCCAACAGTTGTATTGCCAGCACTCAATTTAGTATTGCCATTGTTGCCAGGACTAGACTTAGTATGCCAGTGCTAATTCTAGTGTAGCCAATTGCAAGTTTAGTGTTGCCAGTACTAATTGTGGCATTGCGAGTACTACATTCAGTAGTGCCAGTACTAAATTTACCGTAAATTTAGTGTTGCCCGTACCAAATTTGTTATTGCCGGCTGGAGACCCAAATGTGTCGTTTTTTCCTGTCCATACCGTATACGGCTTGGCCCACCAAAAAAATGCCACACGATTCAAATACGGGTTCAGTTGGAAGAAAATTGGCCATGGGCTTTCAAGGCAGTACTAAATTGCGTATTGCACTACTTAATTTAGTACTGCCACTGCTTGGTTTAGTATTCGTGCAAAAGCGGAATCAACCGAATTGGCAGCCCCGCGCAAAGATAACAAAGCGCTGGTCGCGCGAGTTCTGGAAAATGTTTGGCCCGCAAGTCGCCATTTTGTCCAGACCCCGCGCAGCCTACACTTTTCTAACTTTGCGCGGGACGAGACATTTCTGCAGAGGGTTGATTCTGGATTCGCTCCTTGCAAAGATAAACACATGTTTTTTGCATCCCAAAGGATCACTTTTTGCCGCTAGACTCGCACTAAAGTAGTCTACAAGGGATCGTTTCCACAATTTGCTCTATCTTTGTGAGCGACCCCTTTCCGAGAGCATTTTCTACCCCTCGCAACTTGTCTATCTTTGCGAGGACGGTCAGAATTGTTATATAAAATGTGTCCCGACCTCTTTGTTCGAGTTTATTGCCTATTGGCATCCCGCAAGCAGCACATCCCATGACTGCCACTCTTTTTGTTTAGAAAAAACTGCATCCAACATGTTGCATTTTGCCTTTTTTGCCCACATGTCAAGGTATTGCAAAAAACATGACGCTTTGAGGCTTTTGTTTGAATTCTATATGGACGAACTCTCCATTGAACTGCAGCTTGCTTGTCGACTATCTACGAGCGGATGCAAAGCTTGCAGTTTAACCACTTTCAGAGGCGGTCTCTGCCGCCTCTACCATTTTGTCTATAGACTCTCATTCATACTGTGGATGGACGAAATCCTGCACCACTCCGAAATCATGGGAAGCTATTGTTTGTTGGTATTTACAGGGGAAGATTCATTGCAGGGCTTCCTAGGTGATGTCATCCACGTCGGGCCCATCATTCAAAACAACTATACCGCCATATCGCCTTCTACGTGGGCGCCCACCAGCGCCACTGTTCGGAACCTCCCCGCAAATGCAATATCGATTTGACACTGAGGTGTAGACTGAGCCTGCAGGTCTTCAGGTGGCCATGGTCAAGAGTCCAATATTGGAACCCCCCAGGACCTGGTCTCATAGGTATATAGGTCTAAACATTCCTTGGGTTACCCGGGTTCAAACATGGTCCTTTTGACATGGGCAAAGTGGGAACCTTCAAAGTCCAAGGCCTCGCTGCCAGGTGGGGCCCAAAGATGCCGCGATCTGGAAGCGCCTCACAGCCAGGGCCGACGTCATCGCCCACTCCTTGACGCCGCAGCTCGGAGCCAATCTGTCCCCCACGCACTGCTTGCAGAGCGCCAATTGACACAAAACAAGGCCCTCCAACTGGGAGATTCTCCCCCCCCCAGACAGAATATGTGAGTTCAACAATGAGATTCCTGAGAAATAAATGTTGTTCGGCGGTTCCGTCTCATTTGCAGGAGCTTGTCTTGTCTTTGTTCGCAGGAGTAGCTGTTCCAAGAGGTTCGGACTCGGAGACAGTGAAGACAACTTCTACCCACAATTGTCAATCAGGGTTTGCAATGCAAGCCTCTTGCAGATTTCAAAAGGCAAGCCAAAGAGAGCATTGTGCCATCCTCTTTAGCAGGTCTGGATCCAACGTCAGCACTTTGAGGTGTTCTCCAAATCGCTTTTGGTCATTTCCATTTTCCAGTCGGGTAGTTTGGATCCAAGATCGACCGTGGCCAGCCTGGCTGTGTCTCCAAATCCCCCCCCCCCCCCCGTCCGCGTGCTTGTTTCCTCTCTTTGGCGCGAGAAACACCGAGGAAGCAAGCATCCTTGATCCTCTCGGCCATGGCGCGAAGCCGCCAGAGCCACGAAAACTTCCTGCGTCGCTTCAGGGTGAAGTTCGCGCCCTCGCTGATCGCCGCGGCGGATCTCATCGACCTTTGTGGCACCGCGGCAAGCCTCAAATGGGCCCTGCTTTGGCTTTGGAAAAAAAGCTTGGACTTGTTTTGGCCGTCCATTGGCATGAGCGGGGCATTTGTTTGTTGGGTCGTGTTGTTTGTTTGTGTGTGTTGTAGTTTGTTGTTTGTTTGGTTTTGGCCTTGGTTTGTTTCGGTTTGTTTCGGTTTGTTTTGGTTTGTTTGATTTGATTGTTTATGTGTTTGTTGCTTGATTCATTGTTTGATTGAGTGTTGTCGTTTTGGCATGATCTGCCATTGAAGGTTTGGCATAGATTGGCATGTTGTTTGGCATAAGTTTGTTTTGCGTTGTTTCAGCATGAAAAGGCAGCGGTTTCTTATGGCGATACATGAAGAGTAGAGTGGTGAAACACTACTTCAGACATGACTTGTGAGGATGGTATATTGTTTTGGACGCTCGTTCGCCAGAATGCGTTGTTCAACTTCAGCAGCAGGGATGAGTAAGCAGCGCCGAGCTTTCACCCGGCAACCCATGCATCAAGTAATGCACATACGTGTTGAATCCCATGCATGCCAGAAATCCTGTAGAATAATCATGACACCCACTCAAAGTGGACTCTTGTGCTTTCTACAGACCTTCCGTTCAGCTCAGTTTCTTCAATGATTTTGGGCCACACCCTTCCAAGGTTTGCGCTCGCTGCGGTTTCCCGAATGTGACATCCCCAGCTGCCGCTTTGTGTATGTGTGTTTGTGTTGTCCATGGCCGAGCTCATGGCCTCAGGCATGATCAGCAGCTTGAGCCAGCTGAACGTCTACCAGGCCAGGCGTTGTGAGGCAGATAGCTTGTTTCAATCAAAAGGTCAAGAGGCGCTTGGCTCGCTTGTGGATACTGGACTGACAAGTCTGTGGCTCAAAACATGCACCAAAATGGCACCTTAAATGGAACCAAAGACTAAAACCGGCGGTTTGCCCTGGCTCTTTAATTTTGAGCCACACATCAACAAAGATGTCAACACACCGAAGCACCCAAAATGTCCTGCCAACCAGCGGGGCGGGCACCAGTTGTATCCCATCTCAGGCACCTATGAGGGTTTTCGATAGTGAAAAAGATTCATTCAAATTCTGCAATCAAGCGAAGCCGTTTTGAGAAACACCCATCCTGTGGCTGGACATAGTCTTGCACCAGCTAGCTGGTTTATCCCAATATTTGCGGGGTGTCATATCATTCTCAGGCGCGAAATGGATACAAAGTGTCCACACCGTGACTTTGGTCAGGAGGAGCTGTACGGCTTGGCGGCGAAGCGGCTGATGGACTCATCCGTGCAGATGGATATGCGACAGCTGTCACTGGTGGCGAATGCCTTTGTGAAGGCCGGGAACGGAAAGTCCAAAACGGAAGCATAGGCAGTGGTTGACGGTGGGTTGCCCAGCGGAAGTTTGGCTTCGCAAACTTGGGTATGTGTTTGTTGAGAGTGGGGAAACCAAGCCCAGTACGGATCCCAGGAATCCGTTTGGCCGCTATAGGAGGTCACCCTTCCTTCGATCTATGTTACTCAATTGTTTTTGTTTTTGTTCAAGAGTGCTAAGCCCTTGTCTACAAGACCAGGGAAATGGAATCACTGCGATAGGCGTGGCATGGCCCCATCTTTTGGCATGGCATGTTAGTTCACCCCATTTTGGAAAACACCATGTTGCAGTGGTCATGTTGGATATGCCACTGTAATAGACTCTTTTTGTAAAAAAAAAAAAAAAAAAAACTACCAGGGAAATCCGTCAAGGGGATTTGAACCGCCCCAACTTAAATGGTCCGGTCAGGGGTTAGGTTGTCCGAGTAAAGAGGGACACACCCATATTGGTGACATGCGGTTCCTGTATTCCCCAGGCCAACCTTGTAAGACTAAGGGCACCGACCCAAACTTTTAGGCTTCTTTGAAGTAATTGCCCTTGATTCTTCATGGGAGTTAAACCGGGCGATGGGAGGGCAATTTCACTTGAACATGGCGGATTTGGAACGCCAGCATGGATATTGCCTTTGGTTCCCCTGAAACCCACCCACCAAATGCCACAAGACACATCTGAGGCAGGCCATCAGGACATGGATCTCTTTCAGCGCTTGCTGAAGCAGGCGAGGCCAGAGAGCGGTAAGCGGCAAGCGGCGAGCGATGGTGTCGGCTTCACCGAAACAGCAGGGGACCTTCGTGATTTTTGTGAGTTGCATGGTGGTATCTCGCAGAATCTCGCAGAATCTCGCACGTCCGCGCAAAGAAGCCATGGCAGTTCCACAACGGTTGGGTTGCCTTGGCGTCCCAAGAAACCTGCCCCGAGAGGCCGCCTTTCCACTTCTTCGATCATTGGTTGAGTTTTTCTGGGTGTTGCCCAAAGAATCTTTGGGTTTCCCCAGCTTGGTCAACAAACATCGCCATGGCCCCATAGCCCACGACCACCCTGATTTCCAGATCCTGTGAGGGTGCTTCGAGGATCGGAGGCTCAAGCTGAGCTAAGTCATCACAGCCCGGGTAATTGGAAGCATTCTGGGCATCGATTTTTTTTGCCGGGTTTGGATTCCGACGAAACTTGGTGCTCGGGGAATGAGAATTGGAATGCCCCCACGAGAAACCCTCCAACTGGTGGTTTGCAAGGGGACAGCCTGGGTTTCCTTCTCGCAGATTGGCCACCAAACAGGTCACCAAGCGTTTTCTTCCAGCTTCTTTTCAGTGCCCTCGATTCACTTTTTGGGTGCTATGCTCCATTTTGAAAATAAGTTGTCACTTGGTCACCTGGTCCATATGGGTATGGGTCAAAATTAAACAACCAGGGGACCGCAGGTTTTGGTCCATATTTCCACTTACCGAGTTCATTTTGGGTGCATATTTTTGAGCCACAGCCATTTGGTCTTTTCCAGTCGCACCACCAAGGTTTAAACGAGCCTCGGAACCTCCCTCGCTTTCACAGCAAACGCAGGTCCCGCGCCAGGCCGCGAAGTGCACCGCCAAGGAGCGGAGTTTGAGAGCCGTGGCCACGGCCTTTCACTTTTTGGGGTTGGCTTCTTTTGGGACCCCAACCCCCCCAAACATTTTCTTTTGTTAAATGGGGATGGGGATGGCCCATTGGTTTTGGTCAATGGGGATGGTCTTCCTTTTGGTTTCCTGTTAAGACCACCAAAAACCGTGGTAGCCCTTAAACATGAAGACCTGAAATGAAGACGCCATTTTGAACATGGATTGCTGTTGATCAACAGCTGCAGCTGAGCCAAAAACGTGAATTGCCAGTGGGCGTCACGCTCGCAATGAGGGATCTCTTCTTTTGTTTTGAAGCTGATGGACTTTCCGGGGACTGAACGTCACGTTCCAAGTTTTGGTGTCGCCTGGCCTCGTGCTGATGCACCAACACCTTCTTTTCTTATTGGGGTGCATCCATTCCGGCGGTCTCGCCAGGATGCCGCAGTCCTGCTGAATGCCGGAACCTGGGCGAGCGAGCGCCTTTTTGAGCTTGCCCCTTTTTTGAGGGCACTGTTTTTGCACATTACCCAGACAGCACCTTTACCCCCCTTTCCCCTCCCTCTCCCCCAGCAAAGGTGCAGCTCTCGGGTTCATGTATCCGTGGGGTACTGGCTGGTTTTTTGAGGAATCTGTTTTCAAACGCAACCGGAAGGAAGCTTCCCCCAATTGACAGCCACCTATTCCCGGTGCTGCAAAAGTGGCGTTGCTGGGCTGCCTAGCTGGTTGCTTGCTGGCTTGGCTTGGCTTGGCTTGGCTTGGCTTGGCTTGCTTGTTTGTTTGGCTCAAAGTGTGCACGCACTGCTCACTGACTGGTTCTCAGCGGCATTTCGATTCAGCGGTGGATGTATATAGTTTATGTATGCATATGTTACAGTGATCTCTATGCTGTGAGTCTGATTGTGCTTATACATGTATATATATATATATGTGTATATATATATATATGAATATATAGTATCTGGTAACCCCCTCCCAAAAAAACACAACACTTGAGCGGTAAATTGGTTTTAGTTGTGGGGGTAGCATTTGCATGCATATTATATATATACATGTATATGTACATCATACATGCATATACCTTTGTATCTTTGCTGACCGAGTCTAGGCCTTGGCGCAGATTCCTGACTTTCAGATCCAGGCACGGCTGGGGGGACTTTGCCCCCCCCCCCCCTGGCTCAATTGGGTGCATGGAAACACCCCCCAGAAACACCCCCCAGGATCCTCAAAAATTCTCGCACCCCTTGTGTTGCAATGACTCTCACGGATTGAAGGTGAGAGTTATCCCATTTCCGGACGCGACTTGATCTCCTGCACCTCAGCTTTCCGGTGTGCACGAGTCCAGGTTCGCATGCTCGCCAATGATCCTGCTAGCTTTTGTAGAAGCGCCGACTGTAACCGCCAGGACTGGGAGGCTAAGGAAGAGCAGAAGGAGCTCAAAAGCGCCCTGGAGGCTCCGCGCTCCTTCCATCACCAGCGCCATCTTTGCGCCGAGCGGGGCAGCTCATCTTTTTGGTTTCTCAGGAGTTTTCGGGTTGCTTTCTTCCGCGCGTGGGCGCTGGAGAGGATGAAGGCCAAAACCAGGGCCAAAGACTGATCAAGTATGAATCCAGGGACATGTGCGCAGCTACACTTCAGTCCCAATCAAAACCTGGGAAGTTGGAGGATTTTCCGGGTAACGTTTTGTGCAATACCCATTGCCTGGCTTCACGCGGTTTTCCTTGCTTGGCCATTGATATGAGAAGGCATTACATTCAGTCTATACTCATACCGTATGCCGCCCTGCATTGATACATGATATTAGTGTTTGCATGTGTGCGTGTAAGTGTGTCACGCACATCTCAAAGTATACAGATGTGCATGCATACACTTATACATGCATGTAACACAACGTATATGTGTATTGCAATAGACACACATACACACCCACCCACATGCATCTAGTAGTTGCTTTAACATGCAATGTTACATACATATATATGTATACATGTATACATCAGTTATTCATGATTGTGCATATACATGTATATACACATATGCAAATATGCATTATACATAGTATACATGCAAACATGTTTTGTAATACATCGTAGGATAAAAATACGTTCATAGGCCCAAGCAGCATTTTATGCATGTTAAGCACTTACTTCACCGCTTTGGTGCAAGCGTTCCACCTCTAAACCACCTTATTGCTATAAGGTGTGGTAAGATGATCATCAACCGTTGCGTCGGGATTCTGGACTGCCAGCATGAAGTTCCAATCTGGAGGAATCATGACCTTCCCACTCAAGCAGTTTTGCCACATATGGATTACTTTAGCTCGGCTGCTCGTGGGGCAGAACCATGTCCCGATATCAGTTCTGCCACTGTTGCCAGCACTGAGAAACGAGCCAAGGCAGCTAGGGGTATCCTCCGAGCACCGAGCTCTGCCGCCTTTGTCAGCGGGGGTACCAAAAGCGATATCCTTTAAATGCTGACAACCCCTCCAAGCCCCTTAGCTGACAAACCACTCGAAAACCAGCTGTAGTTGACAATCACCCAAAAGTAAAGCCTCTAACTTTGACAAACACCCATTCTCAAATAGGAGGCCCAAACATGGCTACGGTTTCCTCTTGGATTCCATTTAAACCCAACCTGGAAGGGGCAATTGCCAAAAAAAATCACCCATTTGTTTCGGGAAAAGTCGGGTGCAGGCTCTGGCACTGCGTTTGCCGGAGATCCTCCCAAAGGCGGATCTGCACTCGTAGCGCCCTCGATGATGCGGATCTCAGTCAGAAAAGTCCCCAGACTGTGGGGCCAGTTGTTCAACTTGTCCAGGGCTCCCTGTTTCGGCGACCAAAGTGTTTGCCCGTTTCTGCCTGGGGGTCTCGATGGCCTTCAAAAGCCCTAGGAAGTGCATGTGATGTCTTCTCTTGTTGGGTCAAAGTACATGGCGCAAACTTGCCCATGCTGTTTCCATCATCCCCTTTGTCCACATGTTTCGGGAATTGTGCCTCTACTTGCGGCGCCGATGTGGATGCCAAGCTGCTGCTGAGAATCTCCGCCGAGGCTGGCAGTGATTCTCAATGCCTTCGCGCAGCTTCAGTTTGTGCAGAAGGATGCACTGGACCTCATCAGTCAGGAGACAGACGTTGCAATGCGAAGCCATTGTACTAGAATGAAATGGACATATATATATATATATATACACATATATATGGAGTAATTGTCCCAACACCAAGCATATGCGACTGCCAATGTCATGTGCAGGTGCGGCCTTTTTGTTTGCCTTGTGTCCTGTGACACCGAGCGCTACGATCTCATCACACAACATCGCAGTGCAATTGCAAAGTCAGTAGTTCGAAGGAATGCCATGAACCGGTGTCGACTTGCAGGAGCTGTTGCTCAATGAGCAGAAGCTGCAGCGGATGACAGGCTGTTTTGTCAGAAACCATGTCTCGCCCGGGGGGGTGTCGCCTTGCGGCGGCTCCAGCAACTGTCTCGGAAAGACGAATCATCATAATCAGCTGGAGGCGAATGAGCTTCCGTCACAAAAAGTCAGGATTTTCGGATACTAAAATTCGACGAAGGGAGAGACCTGCAGAGCTTTCCAACATCTTTGCGGGAGTGCAATACACGGTTTGAGGTCGCTTGAGACATTTCGGGCACAAACCCGACAGCACAGCGCTCGCAAGGCCGACAACTAGCCATGGTGCTGAACGCCATTGCCAGGCCCTGGAGTGCATGGCTCTGAGCATCAATCACTTGACTCAGCTGAACCCTTGAATTATGCCCAAGCTGCAAAATGTGTTTCTCACTTGCCCAAAGCCTTCCATTTGAGCTTTTTCCCTTTGTGGTCCATTCTTAGTCGCGACTCCAAAAGGTTAGCAGCTTAGTTCTGGATCCTGTGGGGAACTGAGTATTTGCTTGCCAGAACGAGCATTTCGCAAGGACCCAATCCAGATGGCTGCTTAGAACACAACAACACACGTTCCCATGCTTTCACTTCCCACTCAAATAATTATGCTCATTTCTCTTTTGCTGGTCGCAACAAGAAAGTCAAAGCAATGTCAATCCCGATATGGTGTAGGTTGATGTCGCAGCTGCTCACCCATATTCCTTGACTGGGCTTCGTTTGTGCCTTGAACTTTGGCCGTTCTATGCCAATGTGAACAAACAGAAAGCTCGTTGCAAGTCACTCACTTTACTGCTCAGCATGAATTAAATGGCTTTGCCGCTGTGCTTTGCGATTTGTTGGCACCGTTGGATAGGGCTTCGAAGGCACTGAGGTCCTCAACTCTGCGTGATTAGGCGGGTTGTCCCAGGTTAAAGATGGGGCGAGGGTTCATGGCTTTTGGATGGGAAATCCCACTATCAGTCCACAAAAGAGATGTTTGTTTTCGCAAGTCAGCTTCATAGCTTTAAGAGACCGATTCGGAAACTTTATATTCCTTTCCTTTTGGGACCCCCCTTTTGATCATTTCTGGGCCTTTTGGGTACCCATTTTTGACCCACACCCATATCCCGAAGAGTCGCAGATCGGAAGCCCCGAAACGAATTCGGTTCCCTGTAGGCTGCAGCTGCACGAGCCACGGCTCATCGAGCTGCTTGCCGCCTCTGTGCGAAGCGGCGCTCAGGCACGGTGGCACCTTACGCGGGGAAGGTCTTTCAAAGGGAGATTCCTCTGAAAGGCTTATTCTCCATGACCCTTTAAGAATGGATCCATGTCCCCATTATTTTGGCTAATCATCCCAGTTTTTAAGGTTCATGAAGACTCCAGATGAACAAATTTGCAAAGTTCCCATTTTCCTTCCCCATGGTCAAGTATGGACGCATTTGTCATAAACCTGTTTTTGTTCAGTTTGTTTCCGACCTGTTTGACCAGGTAAAATGGAGCGAAGATTCGAATGGATGCTAAAGTGTGAGGCACTGGACCCCCAGGGCCTGTGCCTGGTGGCCAATGCTGCCGCCAAGCTGCAGCCGAAATCTCAGGGAGCCGAGTCGCTGGAAAGTTCCATGGACCCGCCGATTTTCCTTGGGCAATGAGCTCACCATGCAATGAGCTCAGACGATGACTGACTTGTTTGTATGTTTTGTATGTACCGGATTGTCCATGTTATCCAGTCATCTATTCATGCTACATGCTTACCCATGCTTCTATATCTTAGTCAATCATGTATATATATATATATATGTATGAATTATATATGTACACGGAATCATGTGTGAAAATATATTTGTATATACGCACTACCTGGTGGACCTGATGCCTTCTTCAATTCGTTCTTCTCTTAGGCCTCGGGTCTCCGAGGTTGGGCTTGGAGACCTTCCAAGTTCTCTACAGCCGCATCCCCCGGCTGCTGTCCCGACTGAGCGCCCGGCAGCTGGCAGCTCGCCCATCGGATCGCCCATCGAGTCGAGTCGAGTCGGCGGCCGAGTGGCGTGGTTGAGAAGGGACTATGGGTTTCTCAAAATGGGCGGTTCTCGACTTGTTCGGTGTTTCTCAAAGTCGAAAATTCCGGGGCCCCCGAAATCGCGGGGTTTTCCCTTACGTGTTGCTTTACCACCAGGGCCTCGCAAACACCAAAATGCGAGCAATTGACAACACTTGCTAGTTTACTGTTGGTTTGGAGTCATAGCAAGCGGAGCCATTACAGGGAGAGAGGTTTTGGAGGTATGGACCCGACAACATACCACCATTACAGGCTTGTAAGGCGGTACATACCACTTAAGTGGATTATATAACTTCCATACCTCCAAAACCTATAATTAGTAATGGCCAAATATCTACCAGAGATTCCATGGTGATATTTGTATGAAGACCCAGGCTTGATGAGTCCGCCCAACATGGCTTTGGAGATAGAATTTAACTTTTGGCTGGCCCAAACAAATCCAGTAGGCATAGACGGCCAAACTAGAAAGCCAGATATCAGAATCGCCACCCTCCAAACCCGCTTCGGAACTGAGGCGATGCTTTGCCACGCCTGGGCCAAGGTGCGCAGAATCCATGGGATGCTTGGGAGCCCATGGCAGGTGGCGATGTTCCCAGGGTGCTATCCTCTCAAAGCATCCGAAGCGAAGGGTTAGGAAATTGCGTACCCTCCCGCCAACCAACATGGAAGTGCACAACCCTATCTCCAAGAGGAAAGAAGTCTTTCTACAGGGGTCTGTGCACTTCCATGTTAGTTGGTGGGAGGGCTTTCAGTTCCTCTTTCGGGTTCATTATTGGCCATGGCATCGAAAGGTTAGCCTTTTATTTCTGTTTGGGGGACCGAGTGTTTCTGTCGTACTGCATAGCGTGGAAATTGGAAGCGGCACCCATGAACATATGTCGTGAACAGGTGTAACGCTGTTCCTGCATCTGTCGTTAACGACATCAATTGCCGGTTTAACAAACCAGCGCTGACTTTTGCCTTGAACGCCTTGGCCTTGATCGACATGTCTCCTCTTTAACTTGAAATTTTCCCAATCAAACTGGAAGAGAAGATGTGCATTGTCATGAGCCTTGCAATACTGTGGACGAAATCCATTTCGCACCACTTTGACAAAAACATAACGTTTGTCAGTATTTGTTTTGGGGAATGGAATCAGAAACCAGCTGGTTTCTGCCCGGTGCGTTGCCATCGAATTTCGCGTTGCCATCCGTGTTGCCTTTGGGCTTGTCAGTTGAACCTCATCGAAGCAGTTAGAGGTATCCCATTGGGTCAGGCTGGTACTGTAGATGGGTCGGGATCAGCTTGGTTCGAATTCTTGGGGTTTCTCAAAAGGCCTGGGTGTTGTTTGCTTGTTCGCCTTTACCCGAACTTTCTCGACATCCATGTTGAGCAGCGGCGCATATCATCTAGCAGTCAAACCCATCTTCTCCCACTTCAAATCGAAAAATACAAGCCTTGGGGGAACTGTGGCCATTAATCTGACTGTTTCTCCGAAATTGGGGTTGTTTTCCTTAAACCTGCCCAGGGGGTGACTTTGAGGATGGCAAAATGATGGGGCCAGGGGAAACGGTGTCAGTCCCATCTTCTCCCACTCCTACTTGAGAAAAAAGGGCCCTCGGGGCAACGGCTGCGCCAGGCGCATATCCACAACGACGACCTGTTTGAGCTGCTGTCCTTGCCGCTGATGCACCACGCACCGCAACTCACAGCGCACGAGGCGCCCGGCCTCGAGCGCGTTTGGTCGCGTGGCACTGTTCTAGGGGTACCTTCCCCTTCCCCTGAAGCAAATAATGAAATATACATTCTACAAATGGGCCTAACTCTAATCATGATTCTTTCCATGGATCCGAATCTTTTCAGGAAACCATCAAAAACCCAGGGGAAACAGATCCGGTTTTTGAAAAGAACGGTGGTTGAGAAGAATGGGGAATCAACCCCTAGAACTATGACTTGCCTCCGGTGGGTCGCTCCCCGAGGTTCCGTGTGTTTTTTTTTTTGAACCTGGCTGTAGGAAGCATAGGTGTCCTTTTTAGGTGGTTAAAAGTAGATGGCACTGGTTTAGATGGGTTTTGTTCCCTTTTACCAGGGCCATCTAGTTTTCCAAAAGGCCACCTATGGTAGGAAGGTGAACCAGAGGATGGACGAGTCTTCTTCCTTACCTCTCGCTCGTAACCCCTGAGGGGTTTCCCTTTGAAATCAACGAGCGCAAAAGACGTGCTTGTGAAGATCAACTGGCCACCAGGGTGTTGGGACTGAACGTGTGTTGGGATTGCCTTAAGGGAAACTAGATGGTTTGTATCATTATCCCTCATTCCCTGCTGAGAACCAGGAAAAATTGGTGCCCCTTGGTTTCTCATGGTTACTGGTTAACTATCCCGGGGACGCCTCGTCCCAAGCTGTCGGCGGGCCAATGTTCCAGCGGGCTCCCGTTTTGTTTCACCCTCCAAAGTGTTTGCTTTTCACCCTTTCATTTGTTTTACCGTCAAACCCTGCTGGGGAACCCTCTGCAGGAACAACCAACCCTCGGAAATCCTTCCTTTTCAACCCCTCAAGTCGCATTGTTCACCTTGTTTTTTCCACTACCGACCTTCTTTTTGTCACCCGCGAGCCTGCTTTTTGCACCTCCCCCCCTCACCGACCTTGTTATTCTCACCCTTTGCCCGGGTCAAACCAACCCCACACCAACCCTAAGCCTAAGCCAACCAACAACCCATCCGAAACCCGACCTAAAACAACCCTAGACCCACCCTAAACCCAAGCCAAACCAACCCTGGGCTATTCTAAGCCAACCCTAACCAACCTAAAATCTCTCTAAACCAATCCCCGCCTTTTACCAACCCTAAACCACCCTAAACCCACCCTAAGCCAAGCCACTCTAAATCAACCCTAAATCAACCCTACACCCACCACAGACCTACTCGAAACCACCCTAAAACCATCCATAAACCCGCCCGTAGCCCAAGCCAAACCAACCCTGCGCAATCCTTAAGCCAACCCTAACCAACCCTAAATCTCTGTAAAGCAACCTTAAACCAAGCATAAACCCATCTTTCACCAACAAACCCAAAGCCAACCCTGAACCCAGCTCGAGTCAAGCAACCCGGAAACCAACCAGAAATCCGCCCTCAAGCGACCCTAAGCCACCCATAGCGCAACCCTAAAGCCACCCTAGACAAACTGCACACCCGCCCGAAACCAAGCCTACACCAACCCTAAACCCACCCTAAACCTGCCCTAAACCAAACCTACACCTGCAACAGACTTACTGCAAACCACCCTGAAGCCCTAAACTGACCCTCAACCAACTCCAAACCCACTAAAACCAAGCCAAAACCAACACGAACCAAAACACGCCCTACATCGAGCTTTGCTGTGTGTCTTCGAGCTCGAAGAGCGAGGCAACCCTACTGCCAAATTTTGCTGGCACCAAACTCCTCCTCAGCATCTCCTGCATCATCCGGACGCAGGCCAGCCAAGACCCCAAACCAACCTGCCTTAAATCCAACCTATTCCCACCTTAAACCCACCCTAAACCAGCCCACAACCAACCGTAAACCCGCCGCAAGCCCACCATAAGCCAACCCTCAACCACCCTGAACCCCGCCCTAAACCCACAACCCTAAGCCAACCCTAAGCCACCCGTAAATCAAAAGTCAGCCAAACCCTCAACCACCCTAAGCCGTGCAGTTGCGGCACGAGGGCCAAGTAGAGGGGGTGATGGGTTGAACAACAGGGAAGGGTTGAAAAAGCAAGTTTGAATGCCAGGCAAGTGGTTCAATCGTTTGTCCAAGCGATGAGCGAGTTATAGCATGGCAGATATCATCAGCCAGAGGAGTCAGCATGGTCCGGACTGGAGCCGTGGCTGAAGACTAAGCATTGCCAAAATCCTTTTCCTTAGGATGAAAGTTTTGGAGCAAACCTGGGTCCTTAGCACCACCTGTTTCCACCTCATTCCGTTGACAACCGCATTGTTTGGCCAGTCGGCCTTTTCCGAGATCAAGTCAAAATCAAAAGCCCGAATCTTGCTTGCCTCAGTTTTTCGGTCGATTTTGAGGGACGATTGCCATAGGCCTCAGGCGAGGAATGCCAACCATTTGCATTGGGTAGTTGTCCCCTTTCGCCGAAAAAAGCTCACAGGCTTTCCTTATGTCCGAGGGGCCGGAACAGACACACGTTAAAAGGACATGAGTTCGCAAGATGTTCGCGAACACTTTGGTTCTGAAATGACCCCACAAAAGAGTTGTCGTGGTGTCAAAAAGATGGACTCACGCGGGCTCCTGTATTCACGAGCTGGCAATCCTTCCAAAATAAGTACACCATTCCACTAGAAGAATGTGAGCTACTGTCAAAGCTTCACCTGAGCTGAGTGTTCTACCGTGACACTTTCGATGTCGCCATGCCCGCGACTTGTTGGCGTCCCGTTTGGAATCGCAATGTTGCTTTGCTGGACGAGGCAAACTATATACCATTTGCTGTTGACCCCTAAACAGATGCTAAGGCCCTTCCCCGGCTGCCTCTTTTGGCAAATGCCATTCCCTTGGATTGAAGTCATCGTCACGCTGCTTCAACTAGCGGATTCCAGGCGTGAAACGAGGCGTGACAAAACGGCCGAGTTGCCCTTCGATTTAAAGGTTTGACGTTAGTCCTTTGGCGTGTTGCTTTGCCGTTCGCTACCCGTACCTCCAGCAATGGCCGCTTCTTTCAATGTGCTGTGCAGCTACCAGGCTTCACGAGGGTTGTAAGGCCTGCCCTCATGCTGTGCAACCAGTAGAATCAAAAAAAACACATTACTGGTTTGAGCGCTGCTCAACTGTTTAGGAGACCCTTGCAACAGTTGGCGTTGCTTGCCCCCCCTGGAAGATGTAGCGTGTGAGCCAACACGTTCTGCTGCGCAGCATCCTGTGCGGGACGTGGTTTCGCGCAGGTTGCCATCACTCTGTATGGCTATGCGATTTGCCGGCCTGCTTGTGCATTGCAGGAAGGAAATCACAAATGTTTCATGCCGCAGATGAGGGTTTGCCAGAATCTTGATCATTTCTAGTGAATTCCTTGATTTGTACGAATCTGAATGGGCAGTTGCTGCCCAAGACCACAATCCCTGACGGACCTTCTGACTCTCATGGCTTCGTCTTGAACGATACGCAAGCATACCACCTGCGAATCTCACCAATAAGCAGCTCCTCGATGATGGAAGCACGAGTATGATCCGACGAGTGGCAAGCACGGCCAACCAGGACATGCCATTTAGCACTGAGTGCTAAACACAGGATGGCGATTGATCGAATTGAACCAAGCATCCTGTTTTCGTGCGATCCATTTGATCCTTTTTGATGGCATGGGTTGGCAAAAGCTTGTGGCGCCCGCCAAAGAGATGGATCTGCCAGGGGGGGGAATACCCAGCCAGAAGCCAGCCAAGCAAGAAAACTGGCTGGTTGTAGTTCGGGACGAGCAACGAGGTTCCCAACGAGGAAACCAGAAAAAGGGAGGAAGTCCAGCAGTTAGAGCGGCACAAAGCTGGACGTGTAGCTGAAAAGAGCGCCCGGCGCCAATCAAGAAGGATCTTCTTTTCGGATTGGACCCCCCATCCACAAAGCGTCCACCTGTAGAAGCTACATTGGAGGAAAATCTGAAGTGGTTCTTGTTTGTTGGTTCCATGTCCCGGATGAAAATGGGATACTTTGACTTAAACTGACTTCTTTCAGAGCGCTGCGTTTTCACGTCAATGTCCAGGCGAGTTCGAATCCACGCCAGGCATTTCCGGCACTCGCCGAAGGAGCTCTTTAAAGTGCTGCCGCGCCGGCGGAATTGAGATTCCAAGCCACCAACACCAGTTGTAGCAACGTGCCTAGTCTGGAGGCAAACTAGTTTCGATGGGTGTCTGTTAAAATGGAATTAGAAGCCCCAAACGGGCTCTCGTTTTAGGCCCAGTTGCTGCATTCAGTTTGCGACTATCGTCGTCAGGCAACATGAAGCATGTGCAACAAGGAGAAAGTGCCAGCTTAGCAGCTGAATGGAATCGCCTGGTTCCAAGCAAACAGGAAGTTCCGGTATCTACAATTTCCGTTGCAAGTCAGCTGCCATCTGTTTGCCTCCACGCTTAGGAAACCCTCTTTCAGCTACCAGCATGGCCCGAGAGGCTTACGTTGCTCTAAGGAATCCACACATAGTCCTTGTTTGAGGCTTGAAACTTAAGAAATCAAGACACGATGTCCAGCACGAGATTCTGCCCTTCGTTCGATGAGATCTAATGAGTAGCGCTGGTCGACATGAATGAGAGTCATCCATCTTCAGGCGCTCGCACCTGTAAGTCGAAACACCATTAGTATCTGGGACGAACGCCGCCAAGGTCTAACGTCCCTTTTGAATCCTACATATACTAAAGAGAAAGGAATGCAGCAGCAACATCCCCAGCACCAGCAGGGCCTCTTAAACTCCTGGCATGTGTGCCACAGGCTTACTCCCACTCACTTAATCACAAGTTGAAGAAAGATGATGTTGCTGCTTTCCCCATTCTTTCCAGGATCCTTCTTTCTAGAAAACCTCCGGAAACCCAGGACAAACAGCTGGTTTTGAAAAGAACAATGGTTGGAAAGAATGGGGAATCAACCCCTAGAACAATGATTTGTTGCCAGCCTTCCCGTGCTCCTCCTTTAGCAAGACGCCGGAACTGGCTAGGTTGGAGCGCTTCAACAGCTTGCTGGCTGAGGAGGCGATGTCCGTTCGGCGATGCAAACTTCCAAGGGGAACGCCCTCGAAACTCGGCTCCTTTGTGGATGTCTACCGAAGCGTTCCCAATCTAAAGTTGTTCATTTGGAGAGCACATGGGTGGGGGGTTCCCAAAATCCCTTGTTTTTTCTCACAAAAATAGGGGCCTTACCCAATTCAACCAAGTGCAAGTAATATCCGTTGCTCATATCGGATCATATCCATTCGTCTCCAGAAAGAAAGCATGCTCATTGCAAGCTCTTCGACCGAAAATTGTCAGGCAGTCAGCGAGTCGGACTTGCTCATGGTGTGTTGGCTGCAATGCACCATGAAAACTTGCTGGTTCAATAGGCAGGGAATGAGGGAATCCGGGTTCCACTTTTTGACTACGCCAGGTAGACTTAAACTCATTACCCCCAAACGGAGAACCCTGGGTTTAGTCTTTGTTAATGTTGAAACGCATGTGGAAACATGAACTGTGTTTGAAATGCTTGACCATAATGGCGCATGCCATTTTGGCTCAAGCTTTGCCCTGGGTTCTTTGAACCCAATTTGTGTGAAAACGATTTGAGTTTGAACACCCTCGAACTAACCCCGATCAAGCAATGGCTTCCTCGGCAACCTCGGCAACCTCCTTCGAGCTGATTGAGGACCAGACGCTCACCGCGGAGGAGGTGGAAATGGCCAGCCAGGAGGCCCAGGAAATTCGCACACGCGAGGCGGCAGTGGCGGCCGGCCTGGTGTTGGACGAGCCCGAGGCCCCCCCGTCGGCTTCGGCTACCGACGTGATGAATGACCTCTCCAGTGCACTGGAGCGTCTCCGTGTGGCGTTTGCCACACCGACTTCCGGCTTGGGTGCCCCTGGCCCCGCCGAGGAGGAGGACAAGGACATGGAAGATGCGGACGTCACGGAGCGGGCTACTCCACTGGAGGAGGCACAGACACCACCCACGAAGAGGCTGAAGGGTTTCGTGGCGGCTTCCCAGAAGACCACGGCTCATGTGAACAAACCGGTCTCCCTGGTGCCGGTGGAGGGCCGTCCCGGCTACTTCAAGCTAGTGGACCTCCCAGACCTTTTCCCGGTCCTTCCGGCATCGGCGGCCACGTTGCTGAGGGACGTCACGGTGGAGGAGGCGGTCTCCCTGTTCCACAAGTTTGTCGGGAAGAATCTCACGGAGGACCTGGTGATTCGTATCCTGGAGGCCTATGTCCCGATGAAGATCCAGATCCGGCAGGAGGAGGTCTGGGCCTCACAGTTCCAGAGGAACAAGGCGTGCATTGGCACCCAGCGGATGCACAGACTCGATGCAGGCCACTCAGATTACAAGTTCATGTGCAAGGCATGCGGCACGGGGTGGCCAGAGGCAGCCAAGCAGTGCTGGGTCTGCCCAGGCAAGGAGTTCGTCCCCTTCCAGGCACCCTCGGCTACCTATGAGGCGGACGGCATCACCTACAACCTGCTCATTGTGGAGGGCAAGCCGACCTGGATCCAGCAGCGGGAAGGGGGGGTGCCGCTGGCCCCGGTGGTACCCGGGCACAGCAACCTGGTGGACGGCACGGTCCTGGGGAGAGCTCCTCCGAGAACGGACACGGCAGAGGAGATCACCATGGCAGACGTGGTCCCGCTCAACAGGCGGGTGGACATCCGGGATCCTGTCCATACGACGAGGCGTTGAAGGTCCGGGAATGCCAGGAGATCAAGGTCAAAGTGCAGCGGTCCCTGAAGGAGGCGGAGGCTCAGAGCTTCCAGCTCCACCACCCCCAGGTGGACCAGGCGATCCGGAAGAAGGAGGAGCTGCATAAGGCCTTGAGGGAGCATCGGGAACTGACCGCGGAGGAGTCCTCGGCCAGGCGACGGCACAAGGAGTTGGTCACGGAGGAGATGCTGGACAATGAGATGGCTATCCTGGCGCCTCTCCAGGAGGGCATGCAGGCCCTGCCGTCAGAGGAGGTGGCCAATGAGGGAGCCCGTGCCCTCAGGAAGGTCAACCTGGAGCGATTCAAGGCCAAGCTGCAAGACCAGTACCTGGAGGGGAAGGCGTTGACACCAGCCAGGCACTGGCTGATCCATTCAGGAGGCTCAGGAGCCAACCAGGCATGGAACACTCTCAAGCGCTTGGAAGTGTCCGTGGCCGGATGATCTCAGGCAGGCCCTGGAGAGGGGGCTATTCTGCCCCCTGGAGCTGGATGACCCCGAGGACATCCCCAACGTGGGAGACATCAAGGAGAAGTATGTCCCCTACATCAGAAGGCTCAAAAATCGCAGAACCCATGGCACCAGGAGGCGCTGCTGGAGGAGATGCCCGATCTGGCGGCACCGGCCCTTTTTGAAGGGTGCCACTGGCCTCGGGGGGGACCAGCCAATGTCACAGCAGGACCTGGACTTGGAGGAGGGCAAGCTGTCCCTGCTCCTCTGGGCGATGAAGAGGCATCAGGGGGAGCTACGGATGTTTGGGGGGATCTGGAAGAAGCACTCAAGCGGTGAGATCCTCAAGGGCGCTGACCAGCAGTTCAAGGCTTGACGCCGGAGGAGTTCCTGGCGCTGGAGCGCAGGACTCCCCCTCTCGCGTGCGAGCAGGACCACATCGACCCAGTCATCTACACGGCCTTGGAGATCCGAGCGCAGGTGAACCGGGGCGAGCGCCCGGCGCCGGAGAAGGTGGTGGGGATCTGGGCAAAAGGTGATGGGGTGTTTTGGACCAGGCAGACGAGAACGTGGGACCTGCCGAGCCTGACGGGGGTGTACGCCCACAGGTTCACGATCGCGAAGACGCAGCGCCGGGGCCGCAATGCGGAGGGCTCGACCTCGGACAAGTGGATGGGCAACATCCTCCAGATGAGGAAGGAGGCGGTGCCCTTCCTGGAGAGCCTGGGCATCCCCAAGCCGCGCAGCAAGGCGGAATGGAGCTACATCTTCAAGGAGATGGGGACGTTTCTGGCGGCCAAGAATTTCATCGTCAACTGCCCGTTGCCGGTGATGGAGATCCCAGTGGCCCCCGTCCACGACAGCAAGGAGGCGCTGCGTTTCAGGGCGGTCTGCGACGAGCGGATCACCCTCCCGCTGTCATCGCTGAGGGCTTTCGACTCGGTCTACACCAAGTTGGTGTCGGGCCTGAGCAAGTCCTCCATGGTGGAGGTGAAGGTCAACTGGCGTTGCAACGTGGTCCACGACTGGGTCGAGCAGGTCCCGCCGGGGGCCTTGTACGACAGGTTGGGCCACTCCCAGGACCTCATCCGGCAGCTGGGTTGCTCCCCCCCTTTGGGTGCGGCCAAGGAGGCGGACCCCAAGGCCAAGGTTCTGGGGGGGGCAGACACCACGCTCCGCACACCGGACCAGGGCACCAGGCGATACCCGCCCATCACCACGGCCACGGTCACGGCGGTCGCGGGCCGGAAGTACATCAACAAGCTCTTCCCCAAGGAGACGAAGCATGTGTTTTGGGCCTCCGTGGAGTGTGGCTTGGTCTTGCCCAGCATCAGCGCCTGGGAAGTGGTGGGCAAGGAGAAGTTCAAGACCACCGGGGGCTACATGTGCAGGTTTTGCAAGGGCTTCTGGAGGGCGAGCCGCGGGGGGACCAGGCTGCTCCAGATCACGGGGTGGCACAAAGACAAGGCCACATGCTTGCAGCTGGTGATGGACGAGCCCCCGGAGCAGCTATATAATCAGTGGATCCGTGACAGGATGGAGTTCTACAAGAGGGTGGAGCCGACGGAGCCTCCCAGGGGCACCCCGCGCATGCGCTTCAGCTCCTCGAATGGCCTGCCTTGTGGTCGGTCATTTTGAGCAACCCGGAGAAGTCAGGGCTGGCGGCCATCCACTCGGTGGCAAAGAAGGCGATCTTGAAGGGTGAGAGCCGCTAGGTCGTGTCTCACAAAACCCTTTTGGATGTGGAGTCGTGTGATCTCTTCCCGTGCCTTTAGCCCCGTCTCGGGTGGGGGGAGGAGTAAGGGTGTCTCCTTTTGGGTTCATCTTTCACCATGGTTTCCCCCCTGTTCAACACGTCACGACAGCCGGTTTGCCTCGATCTGGAGGCTGCATGCATTGGCTGCCCCAAGGACGGGCCATATCAGCCACAGTTTGGAGAAAGTGGCTGCGGCTGACTCTTGGTTCCCTGAGGTCCCCTTGGGGGTTTTGGGGAATCCCCCGTCGGGTTGGTCTTCCCCCCTCCGTGTTTTTGGGGATTTCCGGGGGTTGACTTTTGGTCCTGTTGGGGCTGCGTGTGGCCTGCCTGCTCCTTTTGCACTCGGCATCCTGCGCGGTTGGAACATGCATGCAGTTTGCCGCGGTTGGGTCCCGGCCGTTCGATAGGAGGCTCGAACCCCCCCTTTTCATCATGGCTAGGGTTTCTACCAAGTTTCTTTTGCGCCCGCCTTACACTCGTCTTTGGGACCGCATTCCAAGGGTCCTGTGGGACACATTGGCGGATGAGTCCTTCTCCCCGAGACAGACGGACGGGGAGCTGTTGGTCCTGATGTGCCTGCGCCATGGCACGGCGGAGGAGGGGAGGAAGCTGGGCGGGGAGCGGCCGTCCGCTTCGCCCAGCTCCTGGAACTCTCGGGCATTCCGGTAGGGCAAGACGACCAAGTGGTACCGACGGACTACTTCAACGGCCTGGTGGCGTCGGCGGCGGGCAGGCTTCCCCAGCCTCTGTCCGCGGCGGACCTGGCCGACCTATGGGACAGCCTATGGTTCCTCCTCATGGCGACTGCGGATGGCAAGCCGAGCGAGAACTTTTCCCCGCTGGAGAATGAATGGGACCGTCTTCTGAGATGACTGCCGGAGGAAGTGGAGGCACTGGCGGCCCGGGAAAATCAGGGAAATGGAGCCCACGACCCAGCGAGCGCTGGAACTCCATATGCGCGGGAAATGGGCGGAACGGCTCCTTGCCCACTTCGCCCCTTTTGCGGAGCACATCGGCAGGACATCCTGGGGGAGGACTCCGCAAGGAGGCATTGGACCTCTTGGGGGACAGTAGGTTCCGAACACTCAGGCAACATTGCCTGGTCTACGAGAGTCTCCGGAAGAGGGGCTTCACAGTGATTCCATGGCAGGAACGACATGGCTCTCTAAGCTAGAGGAGGAGAAGAGCCAAGGGGCTCACGAGCTCACCCTCAAGGAAGAGCTGGAAGAGGCCTCACAGACACGGTCCCTGGTCCGGTACGATCAGGGCGGCCCCGGTACGCAAAGGGCAGACACGAGGTGCTGGACGCTTTCATCCTGGGTTTCGCCCGGTTCCAGGTTGGGTGCAGCGCTCGTTTCAATGACCTCCAGCATGTTCACCCCAAGGACCTTATCCACACCAGCAA